CCCCCCCCCCCCCCCCCCCCAAAAAAAAACACCTAACCACTTGTAGAAGAATGATATTCTATGTTGGTAATACAACTTGCATCTGAAAATCATTCTTAACACCGAAGGAAATCCGACTAAGGACAAACAATAGTTAATAATTATTTGAGTACCCTTTTTAAGACTTTGCAATATTGAGTATTAGGATTACTAGTGTATCTACTAAATCTCCCTACAGCGTAAGATATATCTGGTCTAGTGCTCGTCATGACATACATTAAGCAGCCAATCACTTGTGAATACTTGAGTTGTGATACTGCTTAAAATGTATTAGGTATAAGCTTTACACTCGGATCCATGGGAGTGCTTATTGGAGAACAATTCTCACAATTTAAATTCTTAAGAACTTTCTCAACGTAATGAGATTGTGTCAAAGATAGTCATCTGTTTTCATGTTTGATTCTGATTCCAAGAATCACATCCTCCTCCCCCATGTCTTTCATTGCAAAGTTTGATGACAGAAATTATTTTGTATACTCTACTTGTCTAAGGTTAGTACCAAAGATCAACATGTCATCAACACACAAGCTAATGATTACTCAGTTACTGGATTCATCAAATTCACTATATAAACACTTATCCGACTGGTTTAACTCGAAACCACTTGAGAAAACAACCTAATTTAGGTGCTTGCTTTAGACCATACAATGACTTGATCAACTTACACATTTTATGCTCATTGCCAGGCATAACAAACCTTCAGGTTGCTTCATATACATCTCTTCTTCCATGATACCATTTAAGAATGATGTCTTAACATTCATTTGGTGAACCACAAGGTTATTAATTACTGCCAAAGCTATCGATAATTTTATATAAGAGATCCTAGCAACTGGAGCATATGTATCGAAATAATCAATACCTTCCTTTTGTTTAAAGCCTTGAATAACTAATCGAGCTTTAAAATTGTCGATTGTTCCATCAGCTTTCATCTTTCTTTTGAAAATCCATTTGCAGCCTAAAGGCTTGCAACCGGGTGGGAGATCCGACAAGGTCCAAGTATTATTTCCCATGATGGCGTTCAGCTCATCTTTCCAAAAAGCAACATCTTGAGACTTCATAGCCTCACTATAAGTTTTTCATTATCAATATGAGTATTGGCAACCAATCTCATCTCTTGATCCTTCCACTAAATATATTTGAAAATCAGGAAATGATTTTTTCAATCCTTCCTCGTTTGCTCCTACGAAGAAAAGGTGACATGTTAGGAGACACAGAAGTTTTGTGTTCTTTATTAGTTCCACTTGAACTTGGAACTAAAGTCTTTGGCATATATATAGATGAAAACCGAGTTTCATCAAAAATTGCATCTCTTGATTCAATTACAGTGTGAACTGCTATTGAATCATTAGGTTCTATTACATAAAACTCACAAGTCTTGGAATGCTCTGCATATCCAATAAAAATGAAATCAGTACATCTCTCTCCCAATGTTTTCATATTGGGTTGGGGTAGTCTCACGACAGCCCTACATCTCCACACTCAAAGATAGTTCAAATTGGGATTTTCTTTTACCAAAGTTCATAAGGGGTAAGTTTGTTCCTTTGATTAGAAACTCTATTTAATAAATAGCAAGCCGTTAATATGGCTTTTCCCGAATTCCGTCACTCAATCCCGAGTAGGATAACATGAAATTAACCATTTCCTTTAGGATTCTAATTTTCCTTTCTGATAAACCGTTTTTTTGTGGTGTATATGAAGCTGTAGTTTCATGTATAATGCTTACATACTGTAAATATACCAGATCATAATACTCTCCACCTCTATCAGTGCGTAATTTCTTAATCAAACCATTTTTTTAAAATTCAACCTCAGTTTTATAAATCTTAAATCTATCTAGGGCCTCATATTTGGTATGTAACTAATACACATAACATAAACGAGAATAATCATCTATGAATGTAACAAAATATTTCTTGTTTCTTAAAGATGGTGTAGCATGTAAATCACATAGATCACTATGTATAAGTTCTAGTACTACGGAATTTATTTCAATGCTTTTAAATGGTTGCCTAATTAGCAATCAAGTACTACATTTTTTCTAAATCTATATCAAAAGTAGGAATCAACCCTTTATTAGACATATTAATCATACGATTATAACGAACATAACCTAATCTAGCATGCCATAGAGAACTATCATTATTGCTAGAACGTGCATAAACATAAACCACATTTATTTAAAACACCACACTTTGATAAGATATACTTACCAGATTCATACACTTGCTTAAAGTCACATTTATTTGAAACACTACTAGAGACTAAGTTTTTCCTAATTCCGGGTATATGAATTACATCCTTGAGATCAATGTTTTTTTCAGAACTAAATTCGAACACCACTCTTCCACGGCCCATGATAGGGCTATTGACTCGTTTCCCATATGAAGTATGGATCCATCTTGACCTTGCTTATATGTAATGAACCATTCAGGATCTCTGCAAACATGTGTTGTTGCACCCGAGTCAATCCACCATGCCACTTCATCATCCGGCACATAAAATGCCTCATAAATCTTTGATACATAATTCACATAAAAATATGGTTTAAAATCAGAGATTTGACCTTAATGAGTGGATGGACGTTGGTCCTTAGACCCTTTTTCCAAAAGTAATGGGATTAAAAGCCCAATCTAATTATCTAAAAACATCTTTTGTCTAAAATAATCATAAAATAAAATTAAGATTTTATATACTTATTTAAAATCAAAATATTAATTTTAAAATTGATTTATATCAAAAATCGATTCAAAAATATACATATATTCAAATTTTCATTTTTACTAGAATATGTTTTTAATAACCATTATAAAAAAATGTTTTAAATATATATAAGAAAAGTACCATACAAAGTCCAATTTCAAATACCAACTTAAATTATGGTTTTCATATTTTACATTAAGTTTTAAAAATATATAATATATGCTTATTTATATGATAGTACGTACAAAATACTATTAGTATATGATTACTTATATAACGGTATGTATAAAATATGATTATTTATATGATGACACAAATACGATATATAATAGTGACATGAACATATTTTTGAAAAGTAATATATGAAATATTATATTATACATATAAGAAAAAAATAACATTAAATACAAATAATAATATAATAATATTTATTTATATCAAATATATATTTATATAAAAGATAAAGTAAACATGCGTGCGGATGCACAAATCAAAATTTAGTATTAGTTATAGTTCTATTCAAAACACATTTCGCTGTGCATTCACACATTTATTAAATACTCCAAAATGGTTGCCTCAAATTCATATAGAATTCACTATATCTAGACCTTATGTGTAGTGGCAACAAAATATAATGAACACTGAAGGAGATAGATAGAAACATATTTATTGTTATTTTGAAAATTCTATAGAAATGATTCAATTGAAATGCAGAGGACGAAAACTATCTTTACACAAATGTTTTCTTTTACTTTTTCCATCTTCATATGTAAAATATATGCACACAAAGCATATCTGCCACTCCTTCAACACGAAAACCTCAGTGTCCGTTCTATGGCATGAAGTCTCTATAGCTGTTGATTCGATGAGTCTAAGTAAGGATAAGTAGATGCTTCTGCATTGTTCTGCCTCCTCATAGCCAGTAAAGACAGATTCCATATTTACAGTTTGCCTTTGCATTTGTTGGATGAACTCATTCATTTGCATGTTCCCATATGGCAAACAAGAGAAAAAAGAAGATGAATCTGACATGTATTCACTGCCAGAGATCCCGATGATCCGCAAGAAAAGAGTACACGTGGTTCAACCATTGTGGCAAGCGGTATCCGCTAGTGTCCATCAAACCATGTTCTACTTCAAGCAGATCATTGATGATATGAAAATGAGGGAACTCATCGGTCATCAGATTCTGTGTTAGTCTCCTAACCTGAACATCATTTTTCCCCATGCTAGTACTTACATGTGTGTTGTAACCACCAGACCGCAAGAGACCACCAGATGAAACATCTGCCGAGCCAACGTTGACAGGGAAGCCAGACTGATTACATACTGAGAGTAATGTGCTTGTTCCCGTAGGCTGATAGCTTGAGTGGTCGGAACTTAATGAACCAACTACGGCATGTTTATAGGATTGAGGAGTGTAAGTCAAAGGCCATGACATAGAAGGTTTTGAGGGAATACTATGTTGTACAGCGGCTCTAGAACGCACAGTTCGGAACTGGATATCTCGAGATGGTGATGCTTGATCTAACAACGGTGGTCCAGCAGGTATTGGTTTCTTATTTGGAATGGTGTCTACACTGAAAACATCCCTTTTCTCCGGTTTTGCTTGTGCTACAGATGGGAAATTCAAGGGAGAAGCTTTGAGTGGGGAAAACACAGCAGGGCTTTTTTCTTGCGTCTGAACCGTGCCACGATCCTGCAAAATGAACAAAAATATCGTCATTCTGATGTTGATGAGAAAAATTCATTAGTTTTTCCTCTTTAAAGGTATCAATTGTTAAAAAAATCAAAAGTTTTGAGTGAACCACCTTGCTAACAGGATTATGCTCCCTTGGTTTCAGTGTTTTAACCACGTCAGCTTCACCAACTCTGCGTGACTCAGAAGAATGGCTTTGACTCTTAGGGTTAGATGGATGTCTGGAAGGTTGGTCCTCTGTTTCAGTGGCTAAGCTGTTGGCACCAGATGCTTTTCTCGGTTGCGTTTTTTCTCTGCACACCAGAAGGTATGTTAAGAGGATGTGGAATAAATAAAAAATAATAATCAAAAGGAAGTTCACTTACTTTCTACGCCAAATCTTGCTTTGAAAGTTTAAAACCTTCCCTTTGCCTACCCCTGATCGAGCAGATTCATTAGGTAAAGATATGGAACTGCCTCTCCCTCTGCCTCCACTAGGTAGATATATGGAACTGCTTCTTCCCCCTGATGGGGAATGTTTTATCTCAGAGGCATCTAATTCACATTCAACAGGGCTGTTGTCTCCAAGTGTGTCAGGTTTCTCAGCTGATGATTCTGTTTCCGCTCTCACACTTTCCTCTTTCTCAGTATCCACTTTGTCTTCTTCCCCTTTCTCCTTTTTGTTCTTTTTCTTTTTTGCCTATGAATTACCAAACAACCAAGAATCTCCATTAGCAACCCAACAAGTTTTTTTTTGTTTGGCATTATATAATTGGAAGCAATAGAAGTGTAGTAACCTGTTTCTTCTTCGATTTTGTCTTCTTTTCGGTTGTTCCCCTTTTGGCCTTCTCTTCCTCTTCTTCGCGAATAAGTTGTTCTTGCCTTTTCAATGCCATATGTTCTTTGTATGCAACATCAACCCTGTTGCTGCATTCTCAGAAGGATTGCAGTGCAATATATGTGAGGTATAGTGAAAAACACAGGAGACATAATATCAGAAGATCGGAAACAGAAAACAAAACACTATCAACCGTTTGTAACATTTTTCACGGTTGTTAGAGCTTGCAAACTAAAGTAGTGTGATTGCTTATGAAATTGATTTATATGTAAATTTTCTAAACTAGAGACAAATAATGTCATATTACCCGTATATATGTGCAAGAGCAAGTATCTCCATAGTCTGCCTACCAACCTCAGTTAGACGACTCTCATCACGCATTATGGCTTCTTTATTGTATTCCTCTTCATCATTCCTCCTCACCTATATTCGGATTAAAGATTTTTTAAAAAAATATATAATTGCACAACTGCACATGAATAAACAAATCATGGAATTCCAATCTGTACAAAACATAGCATGTGAAACTAACCTTTTCTTCATTTATAGGAAATGGTGCCATAACAGTCTTCTGCATGAGTGATAACAGATCATCCTCTAATACAAACATATCTTGGTCCACGCTAACAATTGAAGCTGGGCCATCTGGAAATTCTACGTTATCCTTCGTCTTAGTTTGGCCTTCAATAGCCTTCCACCCACTGTACAAGGAATCCATCATCAAAGTCGTTGCACCTTGCTTCATGACAAAGAAGATTTTTGCAGCTAAATTTAGAACCACATCCATTTTATCTCGAGACATCTTACGCCTTGTGTTTTGGTCCAACCGTGACCAGAAGGAACGAAAGCTACACCATAAAACAACAATCCATTCCTTGTTATGGAAACTGCTCAAACTTTGAGGGAGAAAAACATACACTAGATTGGGGTGAATCAACAGCTACTATGGTTTCATTGTCACTGTGTAAATGTAGAATACCTTTGCCAATTCTCCTTGTCTTGGATCAGCCTACCAAAACTGATTATTTTGTCTCTCATAAACTGCCCACAATTGTACTCTACAGTTGGCAAATATACCCTAACTAGTTCCCTCCTGTACTGACTAGAAAGGCAGCGGAAAGGTCTGTCCACCTCCTCTCTGCAAGAATCAGTCATAAAAGATAATCCACAACACAACAGAAAAGAAAAAACAAACTATGCATAACCGGTACTAATATATATGCCAATATGTTATGGTTGGGAAGTTTCAAACATTACATGTATGTTGACGGCTATGTAGGACACATGACTTTAGGTCAATTCAATTTTGCATTTACCTGATCACCTGAACTTGAGCCTTAATGATAAGAGAGTCCAAATCATCAATGTACCCTTCCTGTAATTTGGGTGACTCTATAAACATATCCCATCCCCAGTTATGTGCCACCGTCCTGGTTTTCTTTTGAACATTATACTCTATCTTCCCAAACAGGTGTATTGTATCTGCAATATCTGTGTTCAGTAGGTCTTTCTGTCTAAAGGGATGGTTGCAAACTAAATTATGCAAATAGGTAACCTGTATATATCGATTTCTTTGGATCTTTATTCACAAGAGCTATAGTAAACTGAACAAAATTACTCCAGCCTGTCTCAAAGATAACAAATGAAACTAAATGATAAAATGTCTCAGTTCAAGAGAAAGAAGCTACACCAGATAACAAGCAAACAACAATACGAACCCGGACAAAGTTTTTTATGGTTTGCAACACAGAGATGCAAAGAGAGATGGTTGTCTACATCACGCCGTTGTGGATGTATTAAAATATACCTAGCATGAGAAGGATATTTTAGTATGCACACGACAAAACTACACAACTAGGTTTAGTGATTACAAGAATTTCAAACTTAGTATTATGATAGCTCAATGAATAACCTTCTAAGAGCCTATATATATGGAAGGAGAGGAAATGTTATGTACCATTCGTAGCCACCAACATGAAAAGAACCACTACGGAAACTATCTTCGTTGATTTCTGAATATTTCGCAATCTTCCAAGTATATTTCCCATATAGTTCAGATTGATTTGATCCTACAAAAAAGAAAAAAAAAGGAATAAAATACCAAGCGACACTCACAATGGTTTTCGCGACTACCATTCTTAACTACTCCCTATGTTTCACTAGGTCCTTTCCTGGGCTACACCTATATAATTATTTATAAATAGTTGGCTATTATAGTTTAGAAATGATATTACAATAATTTTTATTATTTTTTCATTTAAAAATGATTTTGTATTCATAACATATAAATGGATTATAAATACATTATTTAATTTTTGGGAACATATACTTTAAATGATTGCAAAGGTAATTTTACCTATTAATTTAGTCAAATTTAAAATAATTCATTTCATACCCTTTTTGTAATTTTTATGTCAGTTATTCATTTCGTTAAAATATATATGTTCAACAAATAAAGCGTTTTTAAGGTAATTAACAATTTTCTACAATGTTTATGAATAAAACCTAATAGAAGTTCGATGATGGCACTCGATTTGTTGTATTTACCATTTTTTAACACATATTTGTAAATCAAAAGAGTATAATAAAACCTAATAGAAATTCGAAGATAGCACTCGATTTTTTGTATTTACCATTTTCTAACACATATTTGTAAATGAAAAAGTAGTCATCATCACAAAACGAATGGGTTCTGTTGCAGAAGGTATGGACCTGATGGTTTTCTAAAAGCTCTTTGTTCAAAAAAGAAAAGAAAAGATTGTCACCATGTGATGTCGAATTTGTGTCTAACTACTGAATTAACTGATGAATTCACAAGGATTATGCTGCAAACATATGCATGCACATATGTGTCCATGTTCATAAAATAGTCCTGCATTCCTCCATGATTAGCTAGGAAAACTGTAGAGAGTTTGTACTTTTGCATAACAGAAGTGTATTGATACCATTAGAGATGGCTTCCTAAGCTTGTTCATTGCTCGGTTTGATTCCTCCAAGATAACACAACAATATAAATATGCATGTCCAGCACTTCGCCTCCTCTGAACGAAGGATGTTCTAAACAAACATATAGGATAAAAGAATTTGAAGTATGTTGATCACAAATTGCATATAATGTTTTGGTCTGTGACTAATCTTGAAGAGACTAAGGTTTTTTTTTTTAGAGAGAACTTCTGCTGAAGATATTTGTTTCTTATGCTGCTTCATAATCTTTTTCCTTTCACGGGAAAAGGATCTCCAAGCAAATAGTATGGGCAAGGAAGTCGCATCATGTCCCAGTCATGTGACCCAAAGATACTTTTACTAATGCAACATGATGAAAAGGTGTAAAAATGAGCAAAACTAAGAAATCATAATACTGATGAAAGAAGAGAGCTTCATACCACTGTTACTGCCAAATCTGGTTAGATTTTTCTAGAAACGATCATGCCTGCAGATTACAGAAAAGCGATGGGAACCCAATCAAAAAGTGTTTCTCAAATATGAATCCAATGATGAATCAGCCAAAAAAAATATTTCAAGAACGTTTTCACTACCCCTCCAAGCTTTGGAATCTCTGATCCACATAAAAAAAAAAAAAAGAAAAGGATCAAGGCTACATTCATATTTTGAAGACCAAACAATAGCAGAGAGTGACAGCAAGCCACCTTATAGCTTTTCCCTTCCCCAGCATCTTGAGAAAACAAAAATTAACCAGGAAAGCTACAATTTTTCGGAGAACCTGTGAAATCTTTTAGCAACAGCAGCATCATCTTTGTCGTTATTGTCTAAATATTGTCATTCAATAGCCTCACCAGAAAAATCAAGAGGTATAATCTTCTCCCCAATTGTAGAACTGGAAGCAAGAAATACTTGAATTAGATTTTAAAAATGTATAACTTCACAGTAATGAACCTAAAAATGTAAGGATCGACAGAGTTTCGTATTCAGAAGAAAACGAACCCAAAGTCATAATCTTGCTCCATAATAAGAAATTCTTCAGCATAGACCAGAGAGATAAAAAAAATGTTTGTATAGAATTCAGTTAAAAATTTCAAATAAGGCATGTCTTGAAACCCAATGGTATTGTATCATACTCTAACCTTGGTCTATAAATATTTAGAGATACGACTTGTCTCTGGGCAATCCTTCATGTTCGTTACTGGGAGCTGATGGAAGCTTTTTCCGTCAAGATAGAGCTTAGCTGCAGAATTTTTGAAAGCTATGTTAATTGGAATCGCATCTCCGCGACATCGTTCAAGAGTAGAACGGTGGAGACTTTTGCAGTTCAATTATGCGGTAGAGCATGTCCAACCCCACTCCATATTTTACTGCAAAATGGAGTGAAGAATAGAATAATGAAGAAACAAAAATCTCATTGCTCCATATTTGGAGTAATCACTTTTTTGTTTCTTCATCACTCCATTTCCCACTCCATTTTGAAGTAAATTATGGAGCGGTTGGAGATGCTCTAAAAATGAGAAACAGTGGGAGGTGAAAGGAAATCATGATGAATGGATTAAAGCTGAGGCTTGATTACAGAGGAGACTCGAGGAAGATGAAAGGCCAAACAAATCTATAAGTACTCATTGGTCGATTTCTTTTTCTGAAGTGGACAATCTGTCTGAGGCTTATATTCTTCTTTTACTACTTGACTGATTATAAGTTCTTTACATTTGTGCACACATATTAAAGAAACGATTAATTTTGTATATTTTTTTATATAAACACAATTATTTATATACATAACCATATTTCAACTAATAGAAAAATAAATTACATAATATAATTTATAAATTTTGCATTATGCACCAAGAGTTGTCCATATATTCTTTATCAAAAAAATTCCAAAAGCTAAAGCTAGCTTTCCATTATTGACCATCATAAGGATTTTTAACTGATTCTACATATTTTAATCATCACGTGTACGGCGTTTTATCTTTTCAATTGGTAGCAATGAATGTAACTTTCTAGTCCTACTGATCAATTAACTGATACTTGAATTTCAAAAGATATTTTCTATATAACTGATACTTGAATTTCAAAAGATATTTTCTATATAACTGATACCTAGTTACATTACTGACCCATCATAATTAGCAGGGGCGAAACCAAGAACAACACTATGGGTGTGCATGTTTTATGATGGAAAAGTTTTTTTTTTGTGTAATTGATGGAAAAGTTGTGCGTGTGTACCCATAAGTGTCCAAGTTGGAGTCCACATTTTGACTATTTCTTCTTTTTTTTTATTATAAACTAGATATGGATCCGTGCGTTGCACAGATTTCGTTGGAGGTTTTAATTTTAGAAAAGACATAAAATAAAAAATTATGTTATTTCTAGTTTTAGGATTTTTAAACATATGTTGTGAGATTTCATTTTAGAATTAAGAACTCATTTTCCCACATAAATTTCACTTTACAATAAAACCGTTATATAAAATTATTCAGTGTTAAATAATTTTCTTAATTTATTATTTTTAATGATAATTCCATAATAACAATATAAATAAAAATTAATTAAAATTACTACATAGTAAAAACAAAAAAAAATGTATTACGATGAGGTTGGAGATTGATTTGTTTTTAATCAAACACATATAAAGACCACTTATAATGATAATAACAACATCTATCTTTTATGACCAAACATGAAAATATATATCAAACATGTGTTTGATTTTCGTATGACCAAACACATACAAAAACAATCTTAACCAACATCCTATTTTTTATTTTTGTTAATTAAATAGTTTTCATATCATTTTTGTTATCTAATTCTGTATAAAATACTGATATATAGGTTTTCTAAAAAAAAATTTGTTATGATTTAAAGAAAAGAAAAACATTTTATTTTAAAATCTCTGTTATTTAAATTTTTAAAAGAAAAAAATACATCAAATACAATTTTGCATTTTTTGTTTAGGATTTTGGAAAAGGAAAATTCATATCATATAATCTTTCAATTATCTTATGTTTGGAATTTAAGGTAAAATAAATTACTATCAAATAATTATTTTTAGCTAATATTAAATAAATTTTAAAATTACTCTCTCATACCAACTATTTTTACAGTTAGTTTTTAATTAAATATTTTGATTCGTGTTCATCACTAAATTCTCTTTTAAAACATGTAATCAAATAATATTTGTAAATTTATCTTTTGGATAGGACTTAAAAATGATACAAATCTCTTTTGTTTAGGATTTAAAAAAAAACTGATATCAAGTATTCTTTTAAAAATTCTAATAAGGATTTTAGTAATAAAAATTAGTATTATATTTTTTTATAATTCCCTTATTCTAGGATTTAAAAATAATAATTATACTAACAAATAATTATTTCCAAGTAATATTAATGATTTTAAGAATTTCCTATTTTCAAAATTCATTTTCTTGGTATTACTAATACATTTACATTTTTTGTGTTAACTGGATAAATTCATAAAAAGAAAAACTACTGTCAAATAAGCTTTAAAAATTATATTTGGTCAGGACTAAAAAAAATTTGGTTAGGATTTAAAATGGTAAAAATTTTAATTTTGAAAAAAATGTTTAATATTTACTGATATAATTATAGTTGTAGGATTCTATTATTCGTTTTTGTTTAAAGTTACTACTTTCTTTATAATTCTCTTTCTTTAGTATTTTAAAACAAAATATTAAAAAAAAAAAATTAAAAATAGGAAATTACATCAAATAGGTTTTTACAGTTATATTTTCTTTTAGAATTTTGTAAAACGAAATATTACTATCCAATATTTTTCAATGAGATAATTATATTTATGACAAAAATTAAACACGTCTTAAAATATATATTGCCATGTGTTTCGATAATTTTAATTAGAAACTTTTAAGAGATTATGTAATAATATATTTTTAACTCCTATAATAGATATTTGTAAAAGAATTTATCAAAACCAAAAGAGAATTGTTTTTATATTTCCTTTTAAATCCTGACCAAAAATAATTATATAATTTAACTAATAATATTTTTTTATTTTTTATGAATTTGAGGATAAACATAATAATAAATCCAGTTTAACTAACAAAAATATGCAGTAGTGATATGAAAAACCGAAGTGTATAACTTCCAATTTAAAATTTTTATTAAGTATTTACTGAAATAGTTATTTGAAAATAATTTCTTTTAAATCCTAAAAAAATATAATTGTAACATATTGTGTAACAGTATTTTTACTTTCTAAATCATACAAAAAAAAATTTAAACACATGTTACAATCTTAAAATTTATATTGTCATGTGTTTTGGTAATATTAATCAGATAATTTTAAGAGATTATGTAAAAAATATTTTAAAATAATTTTAGTAATCTAAACAAAAAAAGAGAATTGTTTTTAGTTTTACTTTTAAATCCTGACCAAAGATAATTATATAATTTAATTAATAATATTTTTTGTTTTAAGAATTTGATGATAAACATAATACTAAAACCAGTTTAACTAAAAAGATAAATTTTCAAATATGTAGTGATATTAAAAATCTATGTGTTAAAATTCCAATTTTAAAGAAAAAATATTTAATATTTTCTGAAATAACTATTTGCTAATAATCTCTTTTAAATCTTAAAGAAAATATAACTATAAAAGATTGTGTAATAGCAATTTTTCTTTTCTAAAATCATAAAAACAAACCATAAGAATTTTTTTGGTAATAATAATTTTTATTTTCTAAATCCTAAGAAAATAGATTTGTATTATATTTTTGAAACTTGTCACAATCTTAATTTTTTATTGACACATGTTGTAATCATATTAATTAACAACTTTGAAGAACCAAACTCTTTATATTATAAGATATTTTAAAATCAATGGTAAAAATTCCAATTTTAAAATTATTTGCTAATAATTTATCTTAAATCCTAAACAAAATATAACTGGAAAAGATTGTGTAATAGAAATTTTCCTTTTTTTTAAATTATAAAGCAAATCATAAGAATGTTTTTGGTAATAATAATTTTCCTTTTCTATATCCTAAACAAAAAGAATTTGTATATATTTTTTAACATATGTCACAATCTTAATTTTTTATTGACACATGTCGTAATCATGTTAATTAGTAACTTTGAAGAACCTAGCTTTATATAATAAGATAGTGCACCCAAATAAGAAACATCCTAAATTGTCCTCTGACAATTAGTGATTTTAATTGATTCTTGTAAATTTTAGTACTTCTCAGTTATCACGTTGACGTGTATCTTTCAACCGGGTGTTTTATTCCCCTATGCGGACATAATTTACTTATGAATATATATTAGTTTATATTTTATTAGTTAAAAAAAAACATAATAAGCTATGCATTATGTTATTAAAATTAATTAGAAAGGAAAACAGACATAACATAACATTTTTAAAATATGTATATTTATACAAATGTTTTGATTGATTTATATTTAGTTATAATTTTTATCTTATTTTCTAAAAATATAATATTATTAATATAAATTATTTTTATTATAGAATAAATAATATATGAAATTATTAACAAACATGACAAATACAGAACTCACGGGCGGATAGTGTAGCCAGTGCCAAGAAACAATTGTTCTTTGTTGTGCACATGGATGCAGAGCTACCAGTTTGTTTTACAGAATCTATATAAGTCTGTTTGTTTGATAACAAAAAAAACATAAAAAATAAGAAAAATTACCTAAAATCATGGAGAAATTGACAAATCAGCATTGCTTGCTTTATATTTATTTAAATTATTTATATCTTAATTTCTGTAATAGAAAATATATTTTAAAGATAACAATATAATACAAAAGAATTATCTTATTTTCTAACAATAAATTCTTATTAATATTTTATGAAATAATATATATATATATATATATTATTCAAATATATTTTCTATTACAAAAATTCAACATTAAGATATAAAAATATAATTAAATATAAATCAAGTAATATAAAACATATGTGAATTTGCTGATTGATTTGCAATTTCTCTTTGATTTAGTTAATTTTGCTTATTTGTGATGCTTTTAATAATTTCATATATAATTTATTACATAATAAAAAATATATTAATAATAGAATATATTTTGAAAATAAGATAACTCTTATGTATTATATTGATATCTTGAAAATATATTTTCTATATAAAAGTTAAAATTAAGATATGAACATATTAAATATAAATCAATAAAATATTTTTATGTATTATATTACTATGTTAAAATATATTTTTTATAGAAATTAAAAATCAAAATAAAATTATAATTAAATAGAAAACAAGCAATGTTTATTTGTCAATTTCTCCATATTTTTAGTTGATTATACTTATTTATTTGTCATCAATATATAAGAACTTATATATAAAATTATTATAATACAGTTTCTAGATGTTTTGTCGGTATATGTAGACATAATAATAATTTCAAATATTCTAAAATAAATATATTATCAGTTTTAATCAAATTAAACTGTATTAATCTTCACACATTTAATATGTTTAATTTAACCTAAACAATACATTCTTTATATATACAAGTTTTTTTCAAAACATAAATACTTTTTCTCACGTAATATAAACTTAAAAAACACTAAATCCTTTTGAAATATTTAGTAATAAATTAAATATATATTTTTTTAACTTTTGACAAAGTTTCTCAATATAATAAAATTATCTTTTATTGCGTAAAACAAATCTGAAAAATAATATTGCATTAATGTTAGTACAATGTATATATGAATTTATCTCTTACAATTTAATTTAATTCTTTTAAAAATAGTGTAAAATAGTTTTGTTTTTGAAAAACAGAACATAAACTATTTTAAGCAAGGATGATTATCAAACCAATAATTTTTTAAAAACTTTATGGCTAATTAAATATTAAAATATAATTATACATTAACATTAATAATATTTTATAACATAATATAAGTTATCATAGATAATTATAATTATCAAATAAGTAAAGTTATTTTTAATTAATGGCCATTTATATACTAGTTTAGTTTTAGTTTATGATTAATTAATATTAATTATTTTTAAAAATGATAATCATCCAATCAATAAAATTTATTTTTAATTAAGGTTAATTATATAGTAATTAGTTTTTAATTTATAATTAAATATATAGTAATAAATCTAATTATTCATTAAGATTAATATATAATTATTAGTAAAAATCAGAAAAACATGACAAATAGGCAAAAGTAACTAAAATTATAGAGAACATGACAACTAAACAAATTTATTTCTCAAATAATTGTATAAATAATCAAAATCATAAGAATATAACAAATAAGGAAAATTATCTAAAATCATTGAAAATGAAAAATAAACAAAGTAAAGTTCAAAGAATAGTATAAAATTGATAAATTATTAACAAAATCATAATTAAGAATATGACACATAAGCAAAACTACATAAAATCATGTAGATAATGACAAATAAGTAAATTCAATTTCAAATAATAGTGTATATACTAGATGATCGCTCGCACCTTGTGTGGACTAATATATATATATATATATATACTCAACAATCTTATTTTTAATTTTATTTAAATTTAATTTATTAAATAAATAAAACTTTAAATTGATATGAAAATAAAATTCATTATTTACATTGGTTACCAATGTATTAAAATTAAGTTTTTCATGCTTTACTTATAATATATAAGCGATGATTGATAAGCTTTAATTTAGCAATTACTAGTTCTAACCAATCGTGATGTATGTTTATTTTTAAAGTTAAAGCCTCGTTACATCATCTACATCCTTATTTTTTGTTTGCTTATGTCTTTTATCTTAAATCAACTATTTAAATGTTTTAAAAGTTTGAGTCTTTTCTACAGTAAAATAACATACAAGTACAACAATACAAATTACATACTAAATCTTACAGCAAAACTTCTACATTATATAGTTCAACCAATCATCCTCATAGATTTTAGATCAAAATCTTCTCTACAGTAAGAATCAAATTATCATTAGGCTTTGTAGCTAGAAGCAAAAAGTGCCACAAGTTGTAAACACAAAATACTTATTTGTTTATTCTGAATAATTTTTACATTCTATTAAAAAAAGTTATCATTAGGAAACTTGAATTTAGAATTAAACACTTACTGTACTTGTGGATTGAAAAGAGTTTGTACTGGCATTACAAACATTAAGATATATTGTAATGGATCGTAGGTATGCATGTGGTTTTTCTTGAGACGATCCTTGTAATTGTTCTTTCTCCAAAACAAATTTAATTATTTTATTGATATATCTAAATTTACTTTAACTTGTGTGTTTAAATTACATTTTATGCTGGATATTTTTTTTTAGTTCTTGATTTATTTTTTTTATATTACCTTTAAGCTTAATTAAAACATATATGCTTAAGTTCGTGACCTTTACTTGGATTTTGATGATATTTTTTGAATGGACGTAATGATAAAAATTTTGACGGTATTGATAAAGATCTATAGATAATTTACAGCTGGTAGAAAATGAGGCGATTTTATGGCAAGGGAACACTTGAAACTCAACCAACTACCACACCAATCATGGATGAAGATACACATAGCACAACAGCCAGACTGTAGCGATGGTGTTTTACGGATGGATTCTGAAAGGAAAATGATATATTTTCAGGACGCAATTCATACAGTACATTAGAGGGATTTGAAAGACTGTTGGGTTAAAAAATACAAGAGGTTATTTATCCCTTTTACATGCGGAAATTGATGCTTTCATTTGGCGATGAAAGTATAAAAAAATTTAGATAGTTTCATATGACTTTTGCAGTATATTGTTCACGGCTAGTGAAAATAGTTTCAAAACTAAAATAGTTTCAAAACTAAATAATTTTGTTTTTGTAACTTACTTGGAAGGTATATGATGATTAAAGGAGAGTTTTCACACTTTCAAGATAAAGCATGTACCTAGGACTCAAAACACAAAGGCAAATAACATAGCATGTAGTGTAAGGAGTGAACCATCCTATTTTTTTTTCATATAGACACGAAGTCCTTATTTTTGTTAAAAAATATTTAATCGGGTATGTTTATGCTGATGACAAAAAAAAATATATGCTTAAGTAAGTCATTTAAACTGATATGAAAAGCTACATTTTTTATTAAAACATTTTTCATTGTTATTTTAATATTCAACTTTTATTCAACTTTTATTCAACTTTTATTCAACTTTTATACAGAAACAAATGAGATATGTTATTTTTGTTGAATGAGCTATTTTGCTTTCATCAATAAAAATCAACAGTTAAATATTAATGGAACTAAATAATTGACTTTTGACAAAAATGAAATAATTTGGTTAATGAAAAGTACAAGATCCATTCATGTTTGACTAACATGACGGAAAACCAAAGATTAAAATGGCACTACAAGAAAACATGAAATTACCGACTGCATGTTGCGACCGATTATGCAGTCGCAAAATATTGTGACTGAATTGTGACTGTTTTGCGACTGTTTTGTGACTATTATGTATTAGTCGCAAATCAGTCTTTAATGTGCGACTAAATGATGCAGTTGCAAAATAGTCGCTAATTAGCTACGGTTGTACGACAATATACTATGGTCGGTAGCCTGTAGTCGCAAATCAGTCGCTAATTAGGACTATCTTACGACTACTTACTAAATGTAGGGTAAAAAATAAGTAGTCGCCAAACGATTGTTAATTAGCAACTGTTTTGCGACTACAGGTTATCGATCACAATATGTAATCGCAAAACAGTCACTAATTACTCTATACCCTAAAGTAAAATATATTCTTAAGATCTATACCCTAAAGTTTAAAATATATTCTTAAGATTCTTACATGTTTTCTTGTAGTGTGGTATGTTTGTGAGATTAAGATTTTTTGTCTTAAATTTGAAAGTTATAATTATTTTATCAATTTTCACTACAAGAACTAAGTGAATGGTGAACGGGCACATATTTTTTATTGGAATATATTTTTTCAATGAGTAGATTATTTTCAAATTTCTTAATTTATTTTTTTCATTCTATCTTTTATATTTAAGTATTATTCTCTCCCAACCACATAACTTAGATTGGCTTTAGTTTAATCAAATATAGTTCAATGCTTTTGCTCAAAAAATAATCCAATAATTTTGTTGTGAGATGGATCTGATTTTTTCAATGAAAATAATATTTGTGACATACAACTGATACAAGATTGAAAATGTATATATATCATGTTCGATCACAAAACATGCGTAATTAGATAACCACCTAAACATATTTTACATTGATATATAGTAAAACTCCTCATATGCGCCCCTATATTACATACACATATAACAGCCTCGATAAACATACAATAAACACCCAAAAAACGTATTATACAAATATAGATATAGTGGTTGATGATCTCATAAGCCTAGACGTAGCTCCAAATCGATTTCATCTCCTTCAACGACGACGTTTTCTCTCCTTGTAACCATCGATCCAACTCGTAAGCTCAAGTTCGTGGTCGTCCTCATGACGACTGAGTCTACTTGCTCATAGCCTCCACGATCGGAAGATGCCACGTGGAAACATCTTCGAGCACCGGAGAGTGCTAAGTCAGCGTCGTTTTGCAGCTTGACCGCCTTGTTGAGACGGTCACGTCGATGGATGTTCATGTGACCACCTAAAGCTTGTGCGTTCGTGAAACCTCTTTTGCAGAAAGTGCACTCGTACATTCGTCTCGTCACGGTGGAGACCGACGAAGAAGAACGATGGTGAAGAACGGCTCCGGTTTCTGACGAAGTGGACGACGATGATCTTTCACACTCCATACTTTGTGTATGTTGCTTAAGTAATCGAGACTCGAGAGATATTTCTGAAGAAATTTTTGAAACCCTAAAGATAGGATCCTGAGAGATGTTTAAGATGGAAGGGTATATATTCAAAGGTGTTAAGTCCATAGAAAGATGTTTTAAATATATAGGAGTTAATTATACTTTTGGTGTTGTGTTTATATGTTTGTTAGATATCATTTGGCTTTTCCTATCATGGGTGTATATTAATAGATCGTGTACATATATGTGCATGTATGTATCTATCGAGTATCGACCGTGTCAATACCATCACCGTATATGGTGGATTTTGTTTTGTTCTCATGTAATAATCCTATAGTATAACGAGCCTATGATTAATTATTAACTTGCCAATGATAGGAAGTTTATATACCTGGTATTTTTTTATCATCAATATAAAAAGGTAATGCTCCAAAAATAAAGATTCTTATATAAAACTCGTTTGTATGCAGATCGGAGCTAGGAGTTTACACCGCTCAAACCTTCCCTGGAGAATTCGTTGGACCATGTATCTCTAACCCACATACATCGTTAGAAGTCAAATTAAAACATTAGATAAAAAAAATTCTGGACCACATCCCAAAAGCAGTTGTCTAATGGAAATGAGGATTTTACACCGTAACAATGTTTATCAAATTATGGTAGTCCCACTGATTCTCTAGTAATCAGTATCCATTTAGTTTCCCATTCCAGCAATACGCATTTGGAGTACAAAACTCTCAAATTTTAATTCTTTTATAAGCAATCCAATTTACTTCCGTCTCTACTATAGTTTTGTTTACAATAAATTCACGAACATGAAAGTATGGAAAGAGACACAAGAAAGATTTGATTAGAAATCACTTAAAAACTAAATAAGTCAATCGTCAGGCAAATACAATTAACTGAAAGCCAAATCAATCTCAACTAAACTCTTCAATTAGTCCATAAGATTACAAAAATGATGACAATTAAAAATCAAGGGAGTGGTTTAAAATCAACCGTGTTTGTTCTATTTCTAAACATTCCTTTTGTGTTTGTCTTGTAATAGTCCAACCTTTTATTGCAGTTTGATACTTACATGATCAAGTATGAATTTAATACTTATAAGGTCTCGACTGACTGCATTTTTTAACTACAAGAAAAATCACTACGATCATTGATTTACGGGAAAAAAAAAACAATCTATTGAAGAAAAGGCGTTCATGTTTTCTAAAATATATCAAAGACACGAATATGCTACAGAAATATAGAATACGAAACTAAATTTTAGTTAATTTAATTATAAATCATCTTTCTTAATTGGACAGCAAGGCCAAAAAAAGGGGTCATTTGATAGCAACTCGAGTACTTTGATTCGATTAATTATAGCCACGTCACTAATTGATTACGTTACTTGTACTGTTGTACACCTAATCCGGTTTATCTGGGTCTGGTCTGGTCTGTTTTTTCCTTCGCTTCTATCTAAATATGTTATTTCCATTTGTTATCAAGAGCACCAGTGGTCTAGTGGTAGAATAGTACCCTGCCACGGTACAGACCCGGGTTCGATTCCCAGCTGGTGCACATATTCTTTTGTTCTCTTTGTTGTTCTCTTTGTTTTCTTTAAATTTCTGTTCGACCACTAATTGAATGTAAGACACACGTACAACTCGTAATTTGGGATGAGATAGTTACGTTAAACCCTTATGAGACTATAAATTTTAGTTTAGTTTATTGTGATAAAATTTTATAGTTATTATATGTTTAAATATTTTGACATCCAACCAAAATTTAAGGTGCAAGTATTATTTCTATACGGATTACTACACAGATAAACTGTTTTAGACCATAAGTAATGTTCTTCTCCTTATGTCACGATTATTGAAGGTTTACTGAAGTCTGCAAAGAACTAAAAACAATCATTTTTGGGACTAAAAACAATCCTTATTGGGACTAAAAATCATCATTTTCTGAACTTTATTACAAAAATCAAGACATAACATGTGAAAAGGAATTAGGGTTTTGTTGAAAAAATAAAATCAATCATCTCTACATGATTTTTTTATGTTATCAGAAAATATAATCAATTTAATTTTTTTTCTGTTTGTATCAATTTTTTTTTTATTTTTTTTTGATAACCGTGGTGAATCCCAGACGGTAAATCCAGACTAATCCCCACGAGGCCTTCCATCCGGGCACGCACAGTTATAGACGGGAAGGTAACCAAGGCGACTCGAACCCAGGACGAGCAGTCCAGCTGTAGTTCCATTACCACTAGACCAAGAGCTCTTGATTCTTTTTTATTTTCATCAAATTTTAGTCTTTGTAAATCACTTCTTAAAATTCTCAAACTTTCCGTATTACAAAATAATACCAACTACTAAAGATATTAATCTGGAAAATTGTCATGTAAATCCCGCACTTTCAAATTTGGTTGAAAAAAAGCATGAACTTTCTCTTGGACCATTTAAAGCACCAACTTAGTTTGAATAACCATTTTAAACCTCAATTTAGTTTGACTAAACCAAATCAAACACGACGTTAACTCAGGTAACAGATCGATTAGACGGAGTTAATCACAATTTCTAATTTCCGTTAAGTCGTCTAAACAACGTCGTTTTAAAAATTTTAAAAGTACTGCAACTGGAGGGGTAATCGAACCCGAGACCCAAAGACAAAGTCACTCCAAGACAAAACCACTAGACCACTTGCGCTTTTTGTAACTTAAATGAATACTAATAGGTTTATTATGAACCATCCAAATCATTTTCCCACCCTAAATCTATAAATATTAAAACTTATAAATAACTTAAAAATTAAAAAATCGTAAATATTAGTAAAAATATTAAAACTTATAATAATTATTAAGTTATTTATAAGAAGTATTAAAAATATTAAATAACATTTTTTTAATCATTAAATATTATTGAATATTCAAATTATCATTCTTATACTTAATAATTAATTATTTAATAATACTCAATAATTAAGAAGTATTAAAATAACAATTTTTAATCATTAAGTATTATTGAATAATTAGATATTAAGTATAAGAACGAAAATTTGAATATTCAATAATACTTAATGATTAAAAAAATTGTTATTTAATATTTTTAATACTTCTTATAAATAACTTAATAATTATTATAAGTTTTAATATTTTTACTAATATTTATTTTTCAATTATTAAGTTATTTATAAGTTTTAATATTTAGGGATTTAGGGTGGGAAAATGATTTGGATGGTTCATAATAAATCTATTAGTATTCATTTAAGTTACAAAAAGCGCAAGTGGTCTAGTGGTTTTGTCTTGGAGTGAGTTTGCCTTTGGGTCTCGGGTTCAAATTCCTCCGGTTGTAGTATTCTTAAAATTTTTAAAACGACGTTGTTAAAATTTTTAAAACGACGTCGTTTAGAGGAATTAACGGAAATTAGAGACGGTGATTAACTCCTTCTAATCGATCTGTAACCCGAGTTAACGTCATTTTTGCAAATTTGACTCAAAACTCAAAGTCAAACACAAAACTAACCTTTCTTGTTTTTTGATTTTTCATTTGTCTTATTCACCCCATCTGTTCACATTATTTACGTAAATGCCATTACACTTTTTTCTTTTTCTTTTTTTGAAAATTGTTTTTTTTACTCTCTCAACCTCATCATCTTCAAGTATTTACAAGATTGACATTGCCATCAATACCCTAACTACCATGAACAACCAATTTGAAGCTCTTAATGCACCTAAAATCGATTTACACTCTCTCTTTCTCAATTGTTATGAGCTAAAAACAACATCTCTTTCACTTTGTCTCCATATTCATACCAAAAACCCAAGCTTTTGATTCAAATTTTTTTATGGTTGATAGAGCCATTTAAGCATACAATTCTTNCACTTTGTCTCCATATTCATACCAAAAACCCAAGCTTTTGATTCAAATTTTTTTATGGTTGATAGAGCCATTTAAGCATACAATTCTTGGTGGGTTACTTTCATTTGATATTCTGGGTGGTTGGAGAAGACTTTGTGTGCTAAGAAAGTCATCTCACCTAGTTTAAGGTATGAAATTGAAATTTTTTCCAGATCTGTTCACGTGGAAGACTTACTCGTAAGTCTTCTGGATGAGCTGGACGACTTACTTCTAAGTCGTCCAGCTGGACGACTTACTTTTAAGTCTTCCAGCATTGTATGTTAAAAAAAAAATCTGGACGACTTATAAGTAAGTCGTCTAGGAAAAATTGACTAATTTTGCATTTGACCGAATTGTGTCAGATATTTGACTTTTCCTGGACGACTTACTAGTAAGTTGTCTCCAGGAAAGTTAAAATTTCAATATTTTATTAAATCTAGACGACTTACGAATAAGTCGTCTTAGGTTAGTTTTGTAATTGAAAAAAAAAAAACTTTAATTTTAATTTTTTCCAGAAGACTTAATTTAAAGTCGTCCAGTCAGACGACTTATTTTAAAGTCGTCCAATCAGATGACTTATTCTAAAGTCGTCTGAGATAAGTAAAGTCGTCCAGATTTTTTTTCTGGTCAAACTTTGCTTATCTCGGACGACTTTAAAATAAGTCGTCTGACTGGACGACTTTAAATTAAGTCTTCTAGAAAAATTTAAAATTTAAGTTTTATTTTTCAATTACAAAACTAACCTAAGACGACTTATCCGTAAGTCGTCTAGATTTAATAAAATATTGAAATTTTAACTTTCCCGGAGACGACTTACTAGTAAGTCGTCCAAGAAAAGTCAAATATCTGACACAATTCGGTCAAATGCAAAACTAGCCCGTTTTTCCTAGACGATTTACTTATAAGTCGTCTAGATTTTTTTTTAACATACAAAGCTGGACGACTTAGAAGTAAGTCGTCTCATTTAAATTTCAATTGCAAAAATGACTTGTCTGGACGACTTACAGTTAAGTCGTCTGGACGACTTACTTGTATGTTGTCTGCGTCAATGACTAATAATTAAGTCATCTGGAAAGTCTTCCAGCTGGATGACTTTCCAGACGACTTAATTATTAGTCTTCTACTAAGTCGTCCAGGCTTTATGAGTATGTATTAAGAATTTGTGTTAGTCTTCTTAGATGACTAATAATTAAGTCATCTGGAAATTCTTCCA